CATATGCAGAAGAAAACTAGACCCCTATCTCTTGCCATATATGAAAACAAAAAAAAAAAATGAATTACAGACTTAGATCTGAGGCTGGGCATAGTAGCTCACACCTGTAATCCCAGCCCTTTGGGAGGCCAAGGCAGGCAGATCATCTGAGGTCAGGAGTTCAAGACCAGCCTGGTCAACATGGTGAAACCTTGTTTCTACTAAAAACACAAAAAATTAGCCAGGGGTGGTGACAGGCGCCTGTAATCTCAGCTGCTTGGGAGGCTGAGGTAGGAGAATCACTTGAACCTGGGAGTTGGAGGTTGAAGCGAACAAAAAGGGCATTTTCTATGCAGAATCCTGGCAAAAATATTCATAAGATCAGGATGATGGATAACAGGCATTCTAATATATTGCTAATAAGAGTAGAATTGATGCAGTCTTTCTGAAGGGCAATTTGTGTTAAAAAAAATTATTCTAATATTTCTTAAAACAGTAAGGAGACTTTATTCAAGGCTATTCCAAAACGGGTATCACAATAGGAGAGAGACTGGGTTCAAATCAGAATACAAGGACAAGTGGGGATTCACAGCCAAGAGCAAGGTAAGGCCGGGCATGGTGGCTCACGCCTGTAATCCCAACTCTTTGGGAGGCAAAGGGAGGCGGATCATGAGGTCAAGAGATAAAGACCATAATGGCCAACCGGGTGAAACTTGTCTCTACTAAAAACAAACACAAAAGAAATTAGCTGGGCGTCGTGGTGGAGGCTGCAGTGAGCTGGGATTGTGGCACTGCACTCCAGCCTGGTGACAGACTGAGACTCCATCTCAAGGAAAAAAAAAAAAAAGCGCTGGTGAAGGAGTCAGTGGATAGACAATTTCTAACAGTGAGACATCATGGGTAAGGAAATTCTTACTAAACTGACCTAACAGGATTCTTATTAAAGGCAGGCCGGCCAGGTGACCAGCCTAGCCAACATGCAAAACCCTGTCTCTACTAAAAATACAAAAAAAAAAAAAAATTAGCCAGGCACAGTGGTGCATGCCTGTAGTCCCAATTATTTGAGCGGCTGAGGCAGGAGAATCACCTGAACACGAGAAGCAGAGGTTGCAGTGAACCAAGATCCCGCCACTGCGCTCCAGCCTGGGAAACAGAACAAGACTCCGTCAAATCAAAAAACTAAAAATTAAAAAAAAAAAGGCTGGGCGTGGTGGCTCACGCCTGTAATCTAAGCACTTTGGAGGCCAAGGTGGGTGGATCACCTGAGGTCGGGAGTTCAAGACCAGCCTGACCAACATGGTGAAGCCCCGTCTTAAAAAAATAAAAAAATAAATAAAAATAGAGAGAACTAGAGGATGCCACACTTTCAGACAAATTCTGGTCGCTCACGGAGCAGAAGATCCCCCAGTGGAGGAAACACACGGGTCGCCAGCGAGACTCTCGTGGCCGGCGCAGCAGTTCCACCGGCACCTCGGCGCGCAGCTCTCGGAGCAGAGTAAACAGGTTTGGAGGACCCGCAGGGGGCCCCAGCACAACACCAGAGCCTGGCAGCGGCTGTGACGGCACCTCGGCGCAGCAGCGCTCAGCACAGAGTAAACGGGACTGGTTCCCCTTCTGACCGAGGTTTGGAGCCCCAGGAAGGCAGAGTCGCCTACTACGGACACAAGAAGGAAGCCCGACAGGAGAATCCTGGGCAGAAAAGCACCATCAGTTTTAACGCTGCTGCTCTGGCCCTGGGAACTAACAACCTGGACGCCCACTCAAGAGACCTAATCTGAAAGTTGGTAAATTCAAAGACGGCAGGAGGATAAATTTACAATGACGGGAAGAAACCAGCGTAAAAAAGCTGAGAATACTCAAAGTCAGAACGCGTCTCCCTCTAAAGATGATCACAGTTCCTCATCAACAATGGAACAAGGCTTGATGGAGAATGAGCGCATCCTGATGACAGAATCACTCTTCAAGGAATGGATAATAAGAAACTTCTGTGAGTTAAAAGAACACGTTGTAGCCCAACGTAAAGAAACTAGGAACTTTGAAAAAAGGTTTGATGAAATCCTATTGAGAATAGACAACTTAGAGAGGAGTATGAGTGAATTAATGGAACTGAAGAATATAACACAGGAACTCCGAGAAGTATGCACAGGTTTAAACACTTGAATTGTTCAAGCAGAAGAAAGGATATCAGAGGTCAAAGTCCAACTTAATGAAATAAAACGTGAAGAAAAGATTAGAGAAAAAAGGATAAAAAGGAATGAGCAAAGTCTCCAAGAAATGTGGGACTATGTGAAAAGACCAAATTTACGTTTGATAGGTGTACCTGAATGCAACGGAGAGAATGAATCCAAGCTGGAAAATACCCTTCAGGATATTATTCAGGAAAATTTTCCTAAACTAGCAAAGCAGGTCAACATTTAACCCCAGGTAATACAGAGAACACCACAAAGATATTCCTCAAGAAGAGCAACCCCAAGGCACATAATCGTTAGATTCACCAGGGTTGAAATGAAGGAGAAAATACTAAGGGCAGCCAGAGAGAAAGGTCAGGTTACTCACAAAGGCAAGCCTATCAGACTTACAGCAGATCTCTCAGCAGAAACTCTACAAGCCAGAAGAGAGTGGGGGCCAATATTCAACATCCTCAAAGAACAGAACCTTCAGCCCAGAATTTCATATCCAGCCAAACTAAGCTTCACAACTGAAGGAAAAATAAAATCTTTTATGAACAAGCAAGAACTCAGAGATTTTATTACCACCAGGCCTGCTTTACAAGAGCTTCTAAAAGAAGCATTACACACAGAAAGAAACAACCAGTATTAGCCTTTCTAAAAATACACCAAAAAGTAAAGAGCACCAACATAAAGAAGAATTTACACCAACGAATGGATAAAACAGCCAGTCAACATCAAATGGCAGTAACCCTAAATTTAAATTGACTAAATCCCCCAATCAAAAGACACAGCCAAAACCCAACGGCAGGTTACATCCAGACATGTTTCACATGCAAGGATACACAAAGACTCAAAACAAAGGGATGGAGAAAGATTTACCAACCAAATGGAGAGCAAAAATAAATAATAAATAAATAAAAAGCAGGAGTTGCAATTCTCGTATCGGATAAAATAGATTTTAAAGCAACAAAGATATAGTGGTAAAAGGATCAATGCAACAACAAGAGCTAACGATCCTAACACCCAGATACATAGGGACTTAGATTCAATGAGACAGAAAATTAATAAGGATATCAAGGACTCGAACTCAGATCCGGAACAAGTAAACTTAATAAATATTTATAGAGCTCTCCACTTCAAATACAAATAAATATTTATAGAGCTCTCCACTTCAAATACACAAAATATACATTCTTGTCAATACCACATCACACCTACCCATAGGTTTAAATGAAACATTGATTGGCCATTATTAATAACCAATTTTTTTCAGAATAAAGCAATATTTCCATTTACTCTCCCTCTTTCTCTTCCTCTTTCTTCCTCTCCTTTACTTATTTTTTTTTTCTTTCCTTCTCTCAAAAAAAAAGAAATCAACGTGTAAACCTCTAGATCCAGGTCGGCAATGTCTCTCTCATTGCTTGATTTCCTTCCTTCCCTTCCCTCCCTCCCTCCGTTCCTCCCCCCTCCCTCCCTCCGTTCCTCCCCCCTCCCTCCCTCCCTTCCTTCCTCCCTACCGTCCTCCTTCCCTCCCTTCCTGCCTTCCTCCCAAAAAAAAATTAAAATAAAATAAATAAAATAAATAAAAATAAAAAATAAAGGCAGGCCAAGGATTTGAACATTGAAGGTAGGAAATGAGGAATGTGATCAGATATCAAAGGTGATCAGACTATCAAGTGTCAGAAATTCTCTCTGAATTGACAGCAGGATTCTTTGCTAAGACTGGGCTGGGCAGGCCAAAGATGGGATGGGGCCACGTTCCCTCAAGGAGAATCTCTGTCACTGATAATGTTTATCAAAATTAAAGGGCCAGGCACAGTGACTCATGCCTGTAATCCCAGTACTTTGGGAGCCTGAGGCGAGAAACCGCTTGACCCCAGGAAGTGACTCCATTTCTACCAAAAAAAAAAAAAAAAGGCCATGTATGATAGCATGGCAGCTCAATGTAGCATTCAACTGCTGGGCTCAAGCAATCCTCCCAACTCAGCCCTGCTCCACCCTGGCTTTTAGTAGCTGAGACTACAGCTACAGCTACACCACACGTGGCTTTTTTTTTTTTTTTTTGTAGAGACAATATCTTTTTTCTTTTTTTTTTGAGATGGAGTTTTGCTCTTGTTACCCAGGCTGGAGTGCAATGGCGCGATCTCAGCTCACCGAAACCTCCATCTCCTGGGTTCAAGCAATTCTCCTGTCTCAGCCTCCCAAATAACTGGGACTGCAGGTGCACACCACCATACACAGCTAATTTTTGTATTTTTAGTAGAGACTGGGTTTCACCATATTGACCAGGATGGTCTCGATCTCTTGACATCATGATCCACCCGCCTCGGCCTCTCAAAGTGCTAGGATTATAGGCGTGAGCCACCGTGCCCAGCCTGAGACAATGTCTTACCATGTTGCCCAGGCTGGTCTGGAACTACTGGGCTCAAGTAATCCTCCCACCTTGGCCTCCCAAAGTGCTGGAATTACAACTATGAGCCACTATACCTGGCCAATAGTGATCAACTCTGGCGGGAGGCACTAGGAAACAGTAGCAGAAGGAAGTTTTTATTTTTCATTTCATACCTTTTTAGGTATGATATACTACACTTTCTAGGTATAATATAGCTATCCTACTATTACTGGAAATGAAATTTCTTTCTATATTATTTCAGTTTCTTACTCTGAGCATACACTACATACATATGCACAAAACAAACATAAATAAATTGTAGGTCAAGGAAGGAAGACATTTTCTCAATTGGCTTTAACTTTGATTTTATGCTAGTGTACTGGTTGGTTATTTTTTCATGCTTATCAGATACCTCAAAAAATACTTGGTTAGTTACATTTGAGTAGTCTGACTCATACCTGTGAGTGTTCTGAAAGGAAATCTGGAAGAAGATAAACTTGTGCCAGTAACTCTGTGTAGTCACGACAGCGAAAATAATAAATATGGGAAAGAATATTTTCAAGAGTGAAACCCTCCAAAGCTTTTCGATGTTCTGAAACAACAAAACAATCTTAATTAGTTTTACCTATTTGGATGTGCTGGCAATTGTAGGAAAACAATACTTTTTAATTACAAATTGTTCTCCTTTAGATAACAAAATTATTTAACTGAAAGATGACAAACTGTAGCAAAAATTGCTATAAACTATCAGTTCATAATTCCTGATCTCTCTTAATTTTTTAGAGGTGAGGTCTCACTCTGATGCCCAGGCTGGAGCACCATGGCAATCATAGCTCACTGCAATCTCCAACTCCTAGGCTCAAGGGATCCTCTTGCCACAGCCTTCCAAAGCACTGGAATTACAGGCATAAAACACTGTGCCCAGCCACTTGATTTTTTTTAATTTTTTTGAGATAAAGTCTCACTCTGTCACCCAGGCTGGAGTACAGCGGCACGATCTCCACACACTGTAACCTCTAGAGCCTCTGGGCTCAAGCGATTTTCCTGCCTCAGCCTCTCGAGTAGTTGGGATTACAGGTGCTCACCATCATGCCCGGCTAATTTTTGTATTTTCAGTAGAAATGGGGTTTCAACGTGTTGGCCAGGCTGGTCTCGAACTCCTGACCTCAAATGATCTGCCTGCCTCAGCCTCCCAAAGTGCTGAAATTACAGGCATGAGCAACCACACCAGCCTGATCTTTTATTTTCACGTTTTCCACTGTTTCCTTACATATCAGGCTTTGTAAAATTATTTATAAACAAATACAACTAGTGTTTTAATGCCTGCCTTTTCATATTTCTTTTCTTTTCTTTTTTTTTTTGAGGTGGAGTTTCGCTCTTGTTGCCCAGGCTGGAGTGCAATGACACGATCTTGGCTCACTGCAACCTCTGCCTCCAAGGTTCAAGCAATTCTCCTGCTTCAGCCTCCCGAGTAGCTGGGATTACAGGCACCTGCCACCATGCCCAGATAATTTTTTGTATTTTTAGTAGAGACAGGTTTCACCATGTTGGCCAGGCTGGTGTCAAACTCCTAACCTCAGGTGATCTGCTCACCTCAACCTCCCAAAGTGCTGGGATTACAGGCATGAGCCACTGCGCCAGGACGCCTTTTCACATTTCTAGTCACTGGTTTCATTGAACAGAAGTAACATAATGAAGTTTCTATTTCTTGTTTTGTTCCTTTGGACTACAAATTAAGTTAATGGCAGCCTGGGCAACATGGCAAAATCCCATTATCTGCAAAAAATACAAAAATTAGGTGTGGTAGAGTGCAACTATAGTCTTAGCTACCTAGAAGGTTAAGGTAAGAGGACTGCTTGAGCCTGGGAGGTCAAGGCTACAGTAAGCTGTGATTGTGCCACTGGACTCCAACCTGGGTAACAGAATAAAATTTGGTCTCTTAAAAAATAAAGTTGGGAAAAATGTTCAAATGAAGCATTTTTTCTGTTGAATGCTATAGTATAATTTGATATTTAACTAGCAACAATTATTTAAAATCCTCCTTAGATTGGATGTTTAAAAAAAAATTAAACAGTTTGAGGCTGGGCGTGGGGGGCTCATGCCTGTAATTCCACTACTTTAGGAGGCCAAGTTAGGTGGATCACTAGGTCAGGAGTTCGAGACCAGCCTGGCCAACATGGTGAACCTCTATCTCTACTAAAAATACAAAAATTAGCCTGGCATGGTGGCGCGTGCCTGTAATCCCAGCTACTCGGGAGGCCGAGGCAGGAGAATTGCTTGAGCCCTGGAGATAGAGGTTGCAGTGAGATGAGATTGAGCCACTGCACTCTAGCCTTGGCGACAGAGCGAGACTCTGTCTCAGAAAAAAAAAGTTTCATTTTGTACATATTTCAAGATTGCGCCACTGCATTCCAGCCTGGGTGACAAGAGTGAGACTCCGTCTCAAAAAAAACTTGAGGAAGGGCAGAGTTCCTTTATCTGTTTCTTCTCAATTGCCTTCAGCTCAAAATAATCCTTATGCCAAACTGGCATATTTTGGGGTGGCATATCCTGCCAGTGCCCAAAAGTCTTTCAGTAAGCGTGCCAGTCATCAGCTAAATGGAATACTTAGAACCTCCACAAAAAAGAAAATGCAGCTTACTACACTCATTTAAAGAAAATAGACAAATAAAATCTTATGAAAAGCATTATTTTTTTACAAAAACTTCTAGAGGAAAGAATAAAGACCTCACATCCAAAAAATAAATAAAGCAAAAGAAAACAGTCAATCAGGCTGGGCACGGTGGCTCACACCTGTAATCTCAGCACTTTGGGAGGCCAAGATGAGTGGATCATACGGTCAGGAGTTCGAGACCAGCCTGGCCAGCATGGTGAAACTCCATCTCTACTAAAAATACAAATTAGCTGGGCATGGTGGTGCCCACCTGTAGTCCCAGCTGCTCAGGAGGCTTAGGCAGGAGAATTGCTTCAACCAGGCAGGCAGAGGTTGCAGTGAGCAGAGATTGTGCCACTGCACTCTAGCCTGGGTGACAGAGCAAGACTCCGTCCAAAAAAAGGAAAAAAGAAAACAGTCAATCCATAAGCCATTTAATTTATAAGTAATTGAAAGAATAAGGACTTGCATATAAATTACCTTTCAAAAAACTATTTTAGGCCAGGCTCATGCCTGTAATCCCAGCAGTATGGGAGGCCAAGCAAGATTCTGTCTCAAAAAAACAAAAAAATTGTTTTATAGTCACTTTATTTTCACCTAACAAGCACCAAAGATACCTCCCAAACACTAAAACTCAGTGCAGTTGGCCGGGGCGCAGTGGCTCAAGCCTGTAATCTCAGCACTTTGGGAGGCCGAGGCGGGTGGATTACTGGTGGTCAGGAGTTCAAGACCAGCGTGGCCAACATGGTGAAACCCCGTCTCGGTCTCAAAAAAAAAAAAAAAAAAGTTAAAAAAAAATTAGTGCAGTTATGAAATCAGCTATACACTACGAAAGCCCCATGTCTATCTACTTAATATGCTTAATAATCCAAACATTTCAGACATAATTTTCTTTTTTACCAAAAAAATTTTAACCTTTTGAGTTGGTTTCAAACATTATTTTCTTTTTTTTTTTTTTTTTTCAGAGACAGTCTTACTCTGTCGCCTAGGCTGGAGTGCACCAGCTCATTCTGGGCTTACAGCAACCTCTGCCTCCTGAGTTCAAGTGATTCTCCTGCCTCAGCCTCCTGAGTAACTGAGATTACAGGCGTGTACCACCATACCTGGCTAATTTTGTATTTTTAGTAGAGACAGGGTGTCATCACATCAGTCAGGCTGGTCTCAAACTCCTGATCTCAGGTGATCCACCCACCTCGGCCTCCCAAAGTGCTGGGATTACAGGCATGAGCCATTGCACTTGGCCTCACACGTGGTTTTCGAAGCTACCTTTGGTTTTTGGAAAGCTAATATGGAAATTATACATTGAATATATTTAACAACAGTCACTTATATTAAGGTGTCCAAAAACATTAACTTATACCTAATAAGATGGAGTATGATGACTGAAATACATACATAGGTTTTGTCCCAACGCTTCTACGGTAAGAAGTGAGGGCCATAAAGTGGGAGGGGAAAAAAACCAGTCCAGGCTGTGGCATTTCCCATTTTGTAAAAGTAGTAGCAGAGTTTAACACTAGTTCACTGTCAAGTCATTAGGCTTTATATTCCAAATGATCTGTTGCCGAGGTCTGAGATGGGCACAAATGCAAATTACTAATACAGAAAATGCAAATTATTAATAGAGAAAAAAGGAGGATTATTTGCTAACTTACCCTCTCCCTTGTGTTTTTCTGCTATAAGGTGAAGGTGCTGAATGCAGGCAGTAGCAAGGTCTACCATTCTATCAACCATAAAACTTCCCTCTGTATCAATAAAAACTGCTTCACCTGCCACTCCTCCAAAACATTCCGGTATCTGCACATCTACTGCCAACTGCATACTGTGGAGAGAAAGATGGCAAATTAACTAAATCATCATGATCATCTAAGACAGTGTATTTGAAACTCCAGATAATGACAAGTTAGATATCACTAAAGTTTTATAAATGCAAATATACTCCCAAGGCAACAGAAATGTCTAACTCTTCATGGCTCCAGATGTAATGTGAACCAATTGACTATATGTGAATCAAATGGATTAGGGGGAGGGTATGCCTATAAAATCAAGATTAAGGATATTTTAATATTTTCCAGGCCTCTAGAAATGGAACCCCTTTTTATACATAAATCTACTTTCTATTTTTGCTTTTTTTTGAGACAGAGTCTTACTCTGTCACCCAAGCTGGAGTGCAGTGGCACAATCTCAGCTCAACGCAACCTCCATGCCACATTTCCTTGACTCCACTGTGGTCTGTTAGGTGAAGCCTCAGAGTCACTAATAGGAATGATCTCAAGTGGGAGTAGTGACCAACAAGCACACACTGGCCAGTTACCTTTTTTTCTTGGTGTGAAAAACTCAGGCAACAATCATTTGGATTAGTCTGCATGCTCACTGTAGAGTTGCAGCCTCTTGGCTCTTCTCATTGGCCAACCCCCTTTTGTAATCTTCCTCGATTTTCAGGCCCCGGTGAGGGATTGTAGGCCAGCTCCCAGTGGCCCCTGGGAGACAGTCCCCATTTCCCGCACCCACCCATGCCTTCCTGGGAGTTGAGTCTCGAGCATGGAGGTTTCTGAGACTGTTATTCCTTCATGGCCTGCCTAGCTTAAGAAGTAGCTGGAAAAGTAAGCAACTAATGTTCCCATTAGTGGGTCTAGGCTCCTGGGATCCTGAAAGGGAGGAGCTGGGCTACACAAGAGCTCCTTTTGTGGTTCCCAGGTTCAAGCCATTATCCTGCCTCAGCCTCCTGAGTAGCTGGGACTACGTGCCACCATGCCCAGCTAATTTTTTTGTATTTTTAGTAGAGACAGGGTTTTGCCACGTTGGCCAGGCTGGTCTCGAACCTTTGACCTCAGGTGATCTGCCCACCTCTGGCTCCCAAAGTGCTGGGATTACAGGCGTGAGCAACAGTGCCTGGCCTCTTTTTTGATATAGGGGTCTCACTCTGCTGCCCAGACAGGAATGCAGTGGCGCAATCAAGGCTCACTGCAGTTTCAACCTCCCCAACTGAAGCAATCCTCCTGCCTCAGCCTCCCAAATAGCTAGGACCACAAGCATGTGCCACCACAGCCAGCTAATTTTTCGTTTTTAGTAGAGGTGAGGTCTCACTGTTTCCCAGACGGGCCTCAAACTCCTGGGCTCAAGTGATCCTCCTGCCTCAACCTCACAAAGTTCTGGGATTATAGGCATGAGACACTGCACCTAGCCATAAATCTACTTTCAAACATCTGACTTTCAAATATAGTCTCAGGAATGAATGAAGCAGAAACTTCCTGTTTAACCTTATGACTACAGTACAATTTGCAAAAGAAACATTTTTCATATCAAAATAATTGCATCAATTTATTAAGAAGGGATACTGAAGTAACACAAATAGTAAGTTAATTTTTGTTTGATGCACAGACACACTTAAAATTAAGAGCACATACATACCTTACTTGGTTTCCTGACTATAAACCGACAGTACAAAATATTACTTTCATAATATGTTATTAAACCTGTCCTTAAAAGAAGAACATTTTATTTTACCATAATTGTGTTTTTCCAATGCCTGGTGCACCACAAATTTCTGTTGTTTTCATTAAGGGTACTCCACCCCCAAGAATATTATCTAGTGCTGAACAGAAGGTAATTATGGAGCCCTGGATATGCTCCTGCTCAAGAAGTTCCAGTGCTGTACACTTCTTGCCTGACTCAGATGTACCAGCATATCTTGGTTTATTTGTGAGACATTCTCTTCTTATAATTTGCAGAGTTTCTAAGGCTTCATCTTTAGATATCCCAACTTCTGAAAATAAAATAAGAAAAAAAGAACCCTAATTTTAGAGATTTAAAACAGTGTAACGTGATCATGGATTGTCTTCATTAATTTTAATTTTTAGACAGCAGTGATGCTAAGGGTAGAGAAAGATAAAAATGTAACATTCTATCAACCATTTAACTTTTGAGTTTGGCTGGACACTATGGCTCACACCTGTAATCCCATCATTTTGGGAGGCCAAGGTGGGCAGATCACGAGGTCTAGAGTTCAAGACCACTCTGGCCAATGTGGTGAAACCCCATCTCTACTAATACAAAAATTAGCCAGGCGTGGTGGCACACGCCTGTAATCCCAGCTATTCCCTGGGAGGCTGAGGCAGGGAGAATTGCTTGAACCCGGGAGATGGAGGTTGCAGTGAGCTGAGATAGCACCATTGCACTCCAGCCTGGGTGACAGAGCGAGACTCCATCTCAAAAAAAAAAAATTCAGATTATTAAAGGAATTTGTTTTCTTAGTCATCACTTAAAGATTTTCCTATTATCTCAGAAATGATTCAACTAAAGCATTTCTGAGTACCTACAAGAATGTCTCAGGAAGCAGAAATAAAAATGTACTCACTATTTTTTTTTCTTTTTTTGAGATGGAGTTTTGCTCTTGTTGTCTAGGCGTGATCTTGGCCCACCGCAACCTGCACCTCCCAAGTTCAAGCGATTCTCCTGCCTCAGCCTCCCGAGTAGCTGGGATTACAGGCATGCACCACCACGCCCGGCTAATTTTTTGTATTTTTAGTAGAGAGGGGGTTTCTCCAGGTTGGCCAGACTGATCTCTAACTCCTGACCTCAGGTGATCCACCCACCTCAGCCTCCCAAGGTGCTGGAATTACAGGCGTGAGCCACTGCGCTTGGGGTTTCTTTCTTTTTTTGAGACGGAGTCTTGCTCTGTCTCCCAGGCTGGAGTGCAGTGGCTCCATCTCAGCTTACTGCAACCTCCACCTCCCGGGTTCAAGCAATTCTCCTGCCTCAGTCTCCTTGAGTAACTGGGATTACAGGCACACACCACGACGCCCAACTAATTTTTGTATTTCAACATGGGGTTTCACCATGTTGGTCAGGCTAGTCTCCAATGCCTGACCTCGTGATTTGCCCACCTCAGCCTCCCAAACTGCTGGTATTACAGGCATAAGCCACTGCACCCAGCCAAAATGTACTCACTATTAGCACATTTTTACTATCTCTTTTGGTCTTATGAAGCCACAATTATCTCGTACTCATAAAGTATACAAATTTTTCACATGAGAATGAAAAATTCTCATTTTTTAACTGGCTGAAATAAGGTACAACTTTAAGAAGCACATATGCATGTATTATTTACAATAAAAAGTTTTCATGGAAATAACTGATGTAAAAAAATTCATATATCACTGCAAACTAATGAGAACAATTACCCAATGCACAAGTATTTTAAAGAATTCACTTATGCTCCCTTGACTATGCAATTTCACCCGTCTGACAGTATGGCCTGAGAAGAGAAAATGGCAGTTACAAAACAAGCTGGCTGAAGAAATAATGGTGAAGATGACATCACTTATCAGTTTAATATATTGGTGCTTGATTTGATAAGAATATGAGCCATAAATATAGGGCTAATAAAAGACAATGGTGATGACAACATTTAGGAAATGAAAATCTTATCCAGTTCAAGAGCCTGAATGCTGGAATCAGATTGCCTGGGTTTGTAAATTCTGGCACCACTTATGGTGTGACTTTGGACAAGTTACTTCACTTCTTTTTGCTCAGATTTTTTCTTCTATAAAACAGGAATGAGACAATACATGTAAAAAGCTTGGTAGAGGCCCGCTGTAATCCAGTACTTTGGGAGGCCAAGGTGGGTGGATCACGAGGTCAAGAGATGGAGACCATCCTGATCAACATGGTGAAACCCCGTCTCTACTAAAAATACAAAAAATTAGCTGGGCATGGTGGTGCATGCCTGTAATCCCGGCTACTCAGGAGGCTGAGGCAGGAGAATTGCTTGAACCCAGGAGGCGGAGGTTGCAGTGAGCCGAGATCGCGCCATTGCACTCCAGCCTGGATAACAAGAGCGAAACTCCGTCTCAAAAAAAAAAAAAGCTTGGTCTTATGAAGCCACAAGGCCATCTAAAATGGTCAATAGTTGTTAGTGATTATTATTATTCAGCATCTCACATTTCTTCTTTGAAAAACCAACTTATTGAAGAAAAAGGAGCCCATCAAATTTTGGGGGACACAGTCTCCCTGAGGTAATGACTTAAACAGTTAAGGCTGGGCCTAGAAAACTTTTTTTTTTTTTTTTCCTTTTTTGAGACAGAGTCTCACTCTGTCGTCCAGGCTGGAGAACAGTGGCGCGATTTTGGCTCACTGCAACCTCCACGTCCCGCTTTCAAGCTATTCTCCTGCCTCAACTTCGCAAGCAGCTGGGACTACAGGTGCCCGCCACCACATCCAGCTAACTTTTATTTTATTTTTTTTCTTTTTTGAGATGGAGTTTCGCTTTTGTTACCCAGGCTGGAGTGCAACGGCGCGATCTCAGCTCACCGCAACCTCCACCTCCTGGGTTCAAACAATTCTCCTGCTTCAGCCTCCCGAGTAGCTGGGACCACAGGCACACGCCACCATGCCCAGCTAATTTTTGTATTTTTAGTAGAGACGGGGTTTCACCATGTTTACCAGGACTGTCTCGATCTCTTGACCTTATGACCCACCCGCCTCGGCCTCCCAAAGTGTTGGGATTATAGGCGTGAGCCACCACGCCCGGCCAATTTTTGTATTCTTAATAGAGACGGGGGTTTCACCATATTGACCAGGCTAGTCTGGAACTCCTGACCTTGTGATCCGCCCACCGCGGCCTCCCAAAATGCTGGGATTACAGGCGTGAGCCACCGCGCCCGGCCAAGACATTCTTTAGAGGCAAATTGAAACCTCCGTATTTTCCATCATTAAGGGCAATAATGAATAGCACAGGTCTGAGCATATCACAGTGTAATGTGCACAAAGAGTGACCACTGCAAGCTTCATATTTGTATACCTCAGGACGCAGGGGTTCCCACCAATGTATAATCTGCAGTGGTCTGGAATATGAGGTTTTGGGTGTTTTTGTGAATTAGGTAAGAGAAGAATATCCTTCCTACTGCTTCCTTAAGATTCCAGGGATTCTACTCCCTTTCTCATTCTTTGTGTCTCCAGTCCTACACAAATCCTGCATTTCTGAAATTTAGCCCTTACCCCTTGGATCTTGGAACAGCAAAAATTAGACAACCAATTGTGACTCCACTATTTCCTAACCCAATTATCATGAAAAGTTACCTAACCTCCCCAAGATAAAAGTTGTCTCTCTCATCCATATGCTGAACATAATAACCGTAAGCAGGTTCTTTGGGGGTTAAATGAGACAATCCTCAAAGCATTCAGCAGGCATTGCCAGAGGAAAAGCAGTTGGTTAATGTTTTCACGACCGCAGTTCTCCTAACCATTCAAACAACTTGTAAGTGGAGTCGAGGAGCTGTTTGACGTTGTAAACGCGGCCGTGAGAGGCAGCAGAATCTGAAGGAGACTGGGCTGAAGCCCAAGGCGGGAGAACCAAGACTGCGGCGGCACTGACGGCGGCCAGTGTGCCTCGGCTTGCCATCAGGAATCGTTACCTTTGCTAAGCTCGGAGGGTTTCACCTCCAGGAGTTCCTCAGCAGTCTGGAAACCCGCAGACACCAACTTCACCCGCACCGCTGAAGACAGCGGGAAACGCAGCAAATCCCGCTGCATTTCAAAGCGGAACGTCTTCTCGCGCAGTCGCACAGGCTCAGGGGCTAACCCCGGAGCGCCAAGCTCCGCACGCCCTCGCCGGGGAGTGCGGCGTGACGTCAGACGTAAAGCGGAAGGGGCTGGCCACGCGGCCGTGAGCTTTGCAGCTCTGCGCAGGCTTGTATGTTTTCATACTTAGGCACCATTCCATTATAATTCCCCAAAATCCCATTTAGAGATTCCTCAGGCCGGGCGCGGTGGCTCATAGCTGTAATTCCAGCACTTTGGGAGGCCGACGCGGGTGTTTCACGAGGTCAGAAGATCGAGACCATCTTGGCCAACATGGTGAAACCTTGTCTCTACTAAAATACAAAACAACTAGCCTGGTGTGGTGGCGCACGCCTGTAGTCCCAGCTATTCGGGAGGCTGAGGCAGAGGAATCGCTTGAACCCGGGAGGCGCAGGCTGAAGTGAGCAGAGATCGCGCCACTGCATTCCAGCCTGGCGACAGAACAAGACTATGTCTCAAAAATAATAATAATAAATAAATAAAAAGAGATTCTCTATCAAATGTACACCCTGACTGTAAAACAATGGACGGAGACCCTAAGATAGAGAGCAAGGCCCAGTGGGTTTTCCACACCACATTTCCTTGCCTCCACTGTGGCCTGTTAGGTGAAGCCGCAGTCATTAATGGGAATGATCTCCAGTGGGAGCATTAAGAGTAACGAGCATACACTGGCCAGTTACCATTTTTTTGGTGTGAAAAGCTCAGGGAACAATCATATCAGGATTAATCTGTGTGCTCATTGTAGAGTTGCAGTTTCTTGGCTCTTCCCGCTGACCGTCCCCCTTTCCTGACCCCCTCGCTTTTCCCGCCCTCGCAAGGGATTGTGGGGCAGCCCCCAGCTGCCGCTGCGAGAGATAAGTCCTCATTCACCGCACCCACCAACGCCTTTCTGTAGAGTCTCGAGCATGGAGGGTTCTGAGACCGTTATTTCTTCATGGCCTGCCTAGCTTTAGAAGTAGCTGGAAAAGTAAGCAACTAATGTTTCCATTTTTGAGTCTGGGGTCCTGAGAGGGAGGAGTGGGGCTACACAAGAGCTCCTTTTGTGGTACAGAGTTGGGAAGGGGCCTTCAAGCCATGGTAGTGACCGCTTCTAAATAAATGAATTTTGGGGAGAAAGGGAAGCAGTTTAGAAGGTGGTTTATGAGATCTTTCCTCGCCTAGGTGAGTGTGACTTATTTAAGGGGGGTAACTTACTCCCTACCTATTGGCGATGATTCCTTGTGTTGACTTTTCTTTCCAGCTTAGAAGAACTTCCTAAATATTGCAAATCAGAGCCCTCTGCATACTTAGATATAAAAAAAGGAAAAAAGGTATGTTGAGCACTTTAGCAAATCTCACACATTTCAGATGGCCATGAAGGAAGATAAGGAGATAGAGGCTCAGCATGTAGTTTAATATCAATTCTGATCAAAGAAAAAGGGCTGACCGGGTGCGGTGGCTCACACCTGGAATCCCAGCACTTTGGGAAACCAAGGCAGGCAAATCTCCTTGAGCTCATGCATTTGAGACCAGCCTCGACAATATGGCAAAGGTGGTGAAACCCCGTCTCTACCAAAAATACAAAAAATTAGCTGGGCGTGGTGGCGTGCACCTATGGTCCTAGCTACTCAGGATTCTTCTTCCTCAGCCTCGTAATCTGCCCTCCTTGGCCTCCCAAAGTGCTAAGATTACAGGTGTGAGCCACCGTGCCCAGCCTTCATCATCATTCTTAAAATGTCTTTAGGCTGGGCACGGTGGCTCACACCTGTAATCCTAGCACTTTGGGAGGCTGAGGCAGGTGGATCACACGGTCAGGAGTTCAAGACCAGCATGGCCAAGATGGTGAAACCCTGTCTCTACCAAAAATATAAAAATTAGCCTGGCGTGGTGGTGGGTGCCTGTAATCCCAGCTACGTGGGAGGCTGAGGCAGAAAACTGCTTGAACCTGGGAGACGGAGGTTGCAGTGAGTCGAGATTGTGCCACTGCACTCCAGCCTAGGTGACAGAGCGACACTTTGTCTCAAAAAAAAAAAAAAAAATGTCTTTAATGCAGTTTTCTCTGTAGTCATGCTTTCAAACTGGGATCCAGGTTTTTGAAGCCAGGCACTAGGAACTAAACAAACCTATGGGATAAATATGGAAGGTGCACCTTCTTGTATTACCACTTTTTTTTTCAAAAAAGATTTTTAGGGAGGTAAGAGTTAAATAATTTACTCGATAAGTCATTTGAAATGGCTTACATTTAAACACACATTGCATCTGTGTAATGTAGGTAAATCATTTAAAATTTTGAAAAAGATACCACGTAAGACATGCCTTTGTTCCTCCTTAAAATTTTTTTTTTGAAAAAGAAAATAAACATTAATAAAATGTGGGTTAGGCTGGGCTCAGTGGCTCACACCTGTAATCCCTACACTTTGGGAGGCTGAGGGAGTCAGATCATGAGGTCAAGAGATCAAGACCATCCAGACCAACATGGTGAAACCCTCTCTACTAAAAATACAGAATTAGCTGGGCATGGTGGCGCCCACCTGTAGTCCCAGCTACTCAGGAGGCTGAGGCAGGAGAATCGCTTCACCCAGGAGGTGAAGGTTGCAGTGAGCTGAGGTTGTGCCACTGCACTCCAGCCTGGTGACATAGTAAGGCTCTGTCTCAAATTAATTAATTAATTAATTAAAAGTAGGGTAAAATGCAAATATAAAAATAAATTTTAAGAGAAAAGCATGAGGTCAGAGACATATCAGGCTTAAATAGGATACTTCAGTAATATCCCAAACTCCCCTAGGAATATATTTTGGTTTTTCTTGCAACTTAAGGTTGCTTCATGAAAAAATTTGAGGGACATTGCTATGGGCAAACCAGCATGGGCTACTACGGAATCATACAGATTTGGATTTGTATCACATGTCTGGAAGTTACCAACTATGTGACCTTCAGCAAGTTACCCAGTCTCCTCATCTGCAAGTAGAAGAGAATATCTCCTGGGGTTTTGGGCAAGGTTCAATGAACACATATACAGTATTTATCAAAAAAAAAGGTACATAATAAATCTGAGTCTGTTTCTCCATTTTTATAGTATCTTAATGTGCATGTTCACTTGGAATAAGTCCTTATAGAATACCTAGCTCAGCAGAATGCTGATGCTGAGACATTTTTTAAAAATGTCTACAATTGGGCTGGGCGCGGTGGCTGACGCCTATAATCCCAGCACTTTGGGAGGCCGAGGCGGATCACGAGGTCAAGAGATCGAGACTATCCTGGTCAACATGGTGAAACCCGACTCTACTAAAAATACAAAAACTAGCTGGGCATGGTGGTGAGCACCTGTAGTCCCAGCTACTCGGGAGGCTGAGGCAGGAGAATTGCTTGAACCCAGGAGACGGCGGTTGCGGTGAGCTGAGATCGTGCCATTGCACTCCAGTCTGGGTAACAACAGCGAAACTCTGTCTCAAAAAAAAAAAAGTCTACAATTGGGCCAGATACAGTGGTTCACACCTGTAATCCCAGCACTTTAGGACTCTGAGATTGGGGGATCACTTGAGGTCAGGAGTTTAAGACCAGCCAGGGCATCGTGGTAAAACCCCATTTCTACTAAAAGTACAAGATTAACTCGGGGTGGTAAAGGGTCCTGTGTTTTTTTCAGATGGAGTTTTGCTCTTGTTACCTAGGCTGGAGTGCAATGGCACGATCTCGGCCCACCGCAACCTCCGCCTCCTGGGTTCAAGCAATTCTCCTGCCTCAGCCTCTTGAGTATCTGGGAATACAGGTGCGCGCCACCATGCCCAGCTAAATTTTTTGTATTTTTAGTAGAGATGGGGTTTCACCATGTTGACCAGGATGGTCTCGATCTCTTAACCTTGTGATCCACCCGCCTCGGCCTCCCAAAGTGCTAGGATTATAGGCGTGAGCCACCATGCCCGGCCAAGGGTGCCTGTTATCCCAGCTACTTGGAAGGCTGAGGCAGGAGAACCACTGGAACATGGGAGGCAGAGATTGCAGTGAGCTGGTATCACCACACTGTACCCCAGCCTGGGTGACAAGAGGAAAACAAGACAAAACAAAACAAGTCTGCAATTGTAAAAGTGCCAAAGTAAAGTGCTTTTACATATTTTATTTTCTTCAACTGGATCCTTACAGTAATCCTATGACTGGAGTCTCCATTCAGGATTAGCACCATGAAGATTGGATCACTAAAACAAAATTAAATATTTGTTAAATGCAAGTTATGTGTCAGATGACAGGGTAAACAACACAGATTATCTGCCCTCATGGAGTTTATAATCCATCAGGATCTTTTTTGAGTATGTCTGACATTTTGTGTTTCTGACTTGTGTAGCTATCTTGATATAATACTAAAAGTAGGAAGGAGCTATTACTGTCAATATCTATAGTTAACCTGTTAGAGTATTCCAGTAATGAGACATTTTCAGGTTGACTGGGCTGTTTTCTGGAGATGTATGAGAGGAATAATATAAACACTTTTGTTAGAGCTGGGGAGAAGTTTATTTTCTTTTAGCCTAAGAACATAGAACTTTAAAAAATATTGACCATGGCTGTGTGTGATTGCTCATTCCTGTAATCCCAGCACTTTGGGAGGCTGAGGTGGATGGATCACTTGAGGTCAGGAGTTCCAAGACCAGCCTGGCCAACATGGTGAAACCCTATCTCTACTAAAAATGCAAAAATTAGGCAGGTATGGTGGCAGACACCTGTAATCCCAGCTTCAGGAGGCTAAGGCAGGAGAATTGCTTGAACCCCAGAGATAGAGATTGCTGTGAGCTGAGATCCCACCACTGCACTCCAGTCTGGATGATTGGGTGAGACTGCATCTCAAAAAAAAAGAAAAAAGAAGAGATGACCTTTCATGTTCAAGTTGATCTGGGAATGGAGAAAGAAGTGAATGTTGTTTGGACTGAGGGAAAAAAAACCTCTGAATGAAGGCATAGCTTTAGAGATGGTTATGATAAAGCTTCTTTAAGGCCTCAGACATATATAGTAGCAGTATTAATTTTACAAGGCGTTATACATAATAGAAGCCCAATATGTATTTGCTGTCCACAGACTCCTTGACACATTCTTCTCACTTGACTTCGTATTGCTACACTTCTGATTTCCTTTCTACATATTTGGCTTTTCTGTCTCCCTTGCAAGCTCATCCTCCATAACCTGGGCATGGCAGTGACTCTCAAATTTCTATATCTAGCCCTGACCTTCTGCCCTCTGGATGCAAATATCTAATTACCTACTGGACAATTCAAAGTCTCCTCCAACTCAGCCTATCTTAAATCTAACTCATTATCTTCACCCCACCCCCAGAACCTTACCCTTTTCTTGCATTTCCTGCCTCCATCAACTATATATCCATCCTTCCATCTGCATAAACCACAAACTTAGAAATCATTCTTGACACCTTCTTCCCTTTCGCTTTCCATGTTCACTGCACTCCATGGCAGGAGTGCAGTGGCATGATCATATCTCACTGCAACCTTGAACTCCCGGGCTCAAGGAAGAGATCTTCCTGCCTTGGCCTCCTAAGAAGCTGAGAATAATAGGCACATGCCACTGTGCCCAGCTAATTTTTTATTTTTTTATTTTTTTTGAGACAGAGTTTCGCTGTTCTTACCCAGACTGGAATGCAATGGCATGATCTCAGCTCACCGCAGGCTCTGCCTCCTGGGTTCAAGCAGTTCTCTGCCTCAGCCTCCCGAGTAGCTGGGACTACAGGCGCACACCACCATGCCCAGCTAATTTTTGTATTTTTAGTAGAGACGAGGTTTTGCCTTGTTAACCAGGATGGTCTCGATCTCTTGACCTCGTGATCCACCCGCCTTGGCCTCCCAAAGTGCTGGGATTATAGGCGTGAGCCACCGCGCCCGGCCAATTTTTAAAATTTTTTATAAAGACAAGGTGTTGCCCAGACTGGTTTTGAACTCCTGGCCTCAAGTCATCTTCCTGCCTTGGCCTCCCAAAGTGCTGGGATTACAGATGTGAGCCACCATGGTCCTACTGGCATGATCTTTTTACAGTACATTTCACTTCATGTCACTCATTATTTTGCTCTTAGGATAAAGACCAAATTTCCTAATCAGGCTTAAAAAAAAGGCTTGCATGTAGGCCGGGCATGGTGACTCACACCTATAATCTCAGCACTTTGAGAGGCTGATACAGGTGGCTTACAAGGTAAGGAGATTGAGACTATCCTGGCTAACATGGCGAAGCCTGTCTCTACTAAAAATACAAAACGTTAGCCGGGCATGGTGGCATGTGCCTGTAGTCCCAGCTACTCAGGAGGCTGAGGCAGGAGAATCCCTTGAACCTGTGAGGCAGAGGTTGCAGTGAGCCGAGATCGTGCCACTGTACTCCAACCTGGATGACAGATCCAGACTCTGTCTCAAAAAAAATAAAAAAAAAAAAAGGACTGTGGTCTGGCATAGTGGCTCCATGCTTGTAATCCTAACTTTTTGGGAAGTGGAGATGGCCCGATTACTTGAGCCCAGAAGTTTGAGCCCAGCCTGGGCAACATGGTGAAACTCTCTCTTTCTACAAAAAATACAAAAATTAGCCAGACATGGTGGTGCGTACCTGTAATCCCAGATACACAGGAGGCTCAGGTGGGAGGATTGCTTGACCCTGGGAGGCCAAGGCTGCAATGAGTTGTGATGGTACCACTGCACTCTAGCCTGAAGAAGGCACTGCTAGTCACATATCTTCTGAAATGGACATTTTGGTTATATTGTTTGGTGGTAATAGCAGTATAGTTCACATACCTCACCTTTTCCCTTACTTGAGTTGTTCCACCAGATTTCCTTTTTCTTTTCTTTTCTTTTTTTTTTTTTCAGACAGAGTTTCCTGCTGTCACCCAAGATGGAGTGCAATCACATGATCTCAGCTCACTGTAACCCCTGCCTCCAGGGCTCAAGCAATTCTTGTTCCACAGCCTCCCAAGTAGCTGGGATTACAGGAGTGTGCCACCACATATTTTTGTATTTTTAGTAGAGACAGGCTTTCACCATGTTTGCCAGGGTGGTCTCAAACTCCTGGCCTCAAATGATCCACCTGACTTGGCCTCCCAAAATACTGAGATTATAGGTATGAGCTACTGCATGCATCCAGCCCTCCAACCAGATTTCAAAGTATGTTTTATTTCACAAAACAAAATATTGGTAATTCATAGATCATACATATACATATATTAGATAAACTTATTTGAAAAGGCAAGTATGTAAAAATCAAACCGATAGACTGTCAAAGCATCAGGCAGAACAAGTTGTCTGCTTGCATCACAGAATCTCCTACCTCCTTGTCCCAATATTCTTTTCGCCCCATCTAAGACACCTCTTTGTTCTCGGTTGTTGCTTAACAAGATTTTTATTTTTATTTAATTATTATTTATTTATTTTTTGAGACAGAGTTTTGCTCTTTTCGCCCAGGCTGGAGTGCAGTGGCATGATCTCAGCTCACTACAGCCTCCACCTCCAGTGATTCTCCTGTCTCAGCCTCTCGAGCAGCTGGGATTACAGGTGCCTACCACCACACCCGGCTAATGTTTTGTATTTTTAGTAGAGATGCGTTTTTGCCATGTTGGCCAGGCTGATCTCAAACTCCTAGGTTATCTGCCCGCCTTAGCCTCCCAAAGTGCTGGGATTACAGGTGTAAGCCACCGTGCCCAGCCCAAGATTTTAAAACAGCTGTTTTTAAAACAGTATTATTTCTTCCTGTTGTAAAGATAGAAAACTGTGAGCTTGAAGTCAGTAACAAGGAAAAAAAAGTTATAAAACTCTGGCTAATATATTTTGGCAGAGGAGAAGATACCAGAAGAGTCCTTCTGTAAGATAAAAGATGTGGGAAATTAGGGTGGTTCTAGTGTGATCTTGGAAAGAAAATTGAACAACAGTGTTAAACTTTGTATCTCCAATTCGAATTTGTTTTTTTTTGTTTGGGGGGAGATTTTTTGAGGTGGAGTCTCACTCTGTTGCCCAGGCTAGAGTGCAGTGGCATAATCTTGGCTCACTGCAACCTCCACCTCCAAGAGATTCTCGTGCCTCAGCCTCTCTAGTAGCTAGGATTACAGGTATCCACCACCATGCCTGGCTAATTTATATATTTTTATTAGAGATGGGTTTCACCATGTTGGCCAGACTGGTGTCAAATTCCTGTCCTCAAGTGATCTGCCTGCCTTGGCCTCCCAAAGTGCTAGGATTAGAGGCAGGAGCCATAATGTCCACCTGCTTCATTCAAAATTAGAAGTAGTGTTGTGCAATTGTTCTTTCAAATAAGAGTGATCATTGCTGCATATTTGAAAGAGCATTTTGTATATAAGCTTGATACTTCTGACTGATAACCTGTACAGAGATTGCATTTTCAGATGTGTAGACTGGATTTTCAAAAATAATTTTACCAAATTTCATGTTTTCAAACTTACTCAGATTACATGTACAGCAGCTTGTTTAACTGCTCAAGAAATTGGTGTGCACCTGCTTTCGCAGCTGCTGGGGGAGGTGAAGCAGGAGGATCCGCTGAGGCCAGAAGTTTGATAACTGCCTCACCCCAGCCTGGGCAACAAAGCAGGATCTTGTTGGAGTGGGGAAGGGGGGACAAAAAGAAAAAAGACACCATAGTGACATCATTAGCGCAAAACCTTGAAAGGCAGGAGCTGGTTTATGTTATTTACCTTTTAATCTGTAGGGTGTCTTTAAGTTTTATTTCAGTTGTGTCACCAAGCGTACTGGGAAAGGACATACTGAATGATATCACCAGAAGGGGTGTGGAGTATGTAGATAAGCGTGGTGACTATTGGTTATTCATACCTTAGGCTTATATTTTCTAAGATTTTGAATAGCCAGATATTAAAAAGTTTGCACTGGGTTATTGTAGTTTGAAAAAATTTTTATTCCAGAAATTAGGGGTTCTACTGGTCGCATCAGAAAAATGACCATATATATATATATATATATATATATATATTTTTTTTTTTTTGAGACGGAGTTTCGCTCTTGTTACCCAGTCTGGAGTGCAATGGCGCGATCTCGGCTCACTGCAACCTCCGCTTCCTGGGTTCAGGCAATTCTCCTGCCTCAGCCTCCTGAAATGACCCTATATTTAGAGTGGTTTGAATCTAAGGGTGAGTTCTCAGGCATCCTCACTAGCTCAGGCTTAACTAACAGTAGTAATATGAAAATCAAGAAAGTCATTTTTCTTTGGTTTAAGTTTGTCAATTGTACTCTAAGTGTAGGGGATGTGGTTGAATAATTTGTGGTAGAGGTAGGACTGTGATTGTTTTCTACCCTGGTCTGGTTTCGTTTTAGAAGGTTTTTATTGGTTATGGTGGCTTGTACTTGTAATTTTGGTACCCTTGTGAAGTCAGCAGTTTAAAACCTGCTTGAACCCATCTCTACTAGAGATACAGCAATTGGGTGGGTATGGTGCACTCCAGCCTGGGTGACAGAGCAAGAAAAGACATTGCATCTTGTGTCTTCCACCACAATCTCCTGTTTTGGAGTATCCAGAGGTTTATATTTCTGAACAGTCATTTTCTCCTTCACACATATTTCTGGTCTCACCCCACTTCACTTGTTGGTTGGTGCTATAATTGAGTACTACAGTGATTTGCTGTTACAATCAGAAGTCTTCAGTTAAATTTTTCAGGAGGCTCTAAAGGAATGCTAACTCTCACACTTTCCTTGCTTGTAGCCCTTTCATTTTCCAAGCTAGCAATTTAGCATCTTCTGACTTTTCTTCTGTCTTTGTATCTTTTTGTGGATCTCTAGAGTCCTTTTTTTTTTTTTTTTTTTTTTTTGGAGATGGAGTTTTGCTCTTGCAGCCCACGCTGGAGTGCAATGGCGTTATTGGCTCACTGCAACCTCAGCCTCACAGGTTCAAGGGATTCTCCTGCCTCAGCCTTCCGAGTAGCTGGGATTATAGACATGCACTGCCACGCCTGGCTAATTTTTGTATTTTTAGTAGAGATGGGGTTTCACCATGTAGAGTGGTCTTGCACTCCTGACCTCAGGTGATCCACCTGCCACAGCCTCCAAAAGTGCTGAGATTACAGGTGTGAGCCACCGCACCCGGCTCCAGTGTCCTTCATTTTAAGGACACTGTGATTACATAAGGTTCATCTGGATAAGCTTTTCATCTTAAATCAATCCCATCTAAAAACTTCCCTTTATAATGGAAAATGTTACAGGTTCCAGGAATTAAGATGAGTACATTTTTGGTGGGCCATTATTCTGCCTTATTCTACCACCACAACTACAAAAGCCTCAGATTTGTCAGGAGCCTTTTTTTTTTTTTTTTTTTTTTTTGAGATGGAGTTTCCCTCTTGTTGCCCAGGCTGGAGTGCAATGGCTTGATCTTGGCTCACTGCAACCTCCACCTCCTGGGTTGAAGTGATTCTCCTGCCTTGGCCTCCCGAGCAGCTGGGATTACAGACGTGCACCACCATCCTAGGCTAATTTTTGTATTTTTAGTAGAGACGGGGTTTTAACATGCTGATCTCAAGCGATCCGCCACCTTGGCCTCCCAAAGTGCTGGGATTACAGGTGTGAGCCACCAAACTCGGCTCATTGGGAGCTTTTTATGTCACCAAAAGAGGCTTGGAGTATGTAGATAAGCACAGTGTCTTCTGGTCTCATTCACATTGTCCATACATTTCTTAGGATATTGTAAATATTCTGGGTCCACAGTGTTGTTTCTGGCTTTTTTTTTTTTTTTTTGAGACGGAGTTTTACTCTGTCACCCAGTGGTCTCAGCTCACTGCAACCTCTGCCCCCCACGTTCAAGTGATTCTCCTGCCTCAGCCTCCTGAGTAGCTGGGACTACAGGTGCATACCACCACACCTGGCTAATTTTTATATTTTTAGTAGAGAGGGGGTTTCATTGTGTTGGCCAGGCTGGTCTCAAACTCCTGACCTTATGGTCCTTCCGCTTTGGCCTTCTAAATGCTGGGATTACAAGCATGAGTCACCATGCCCAGCCATTTCTGGCTCTTAAACTTTGGAAAAGTCTTTATCTTTTAAGTGGTAGGCTAGACCTTGTGCAAGGAGAGTGACCCTATGTGAAGAGTGTTTTGAATCTGAGAGTGAGATGTCAGGCAACAACCATATCTTTCACTTACCTGGCAGGAAAGATACCCTGAGCACAGGGCTTGGCATGACTACACAAGGAAACAAAAACATCCTCACAGATTTTCAGAATTTCCCTTTGGGAATGTTTCAGCTGTCATGGAGAACCACTCAATTGTGGAGAATGTTTGAAACAGCTGGGTAAAATAAATTTTTAAAAAAGATATGCATAAAAGGAATGCCGGCCGGGTGTGGTGGCTCACGCCTATAATATTAGCACTTTAGGAGACTGAAGCGGGTGGATCACTTTAGGTCAGGAGTTCAAGACCAGGCTGGCCAACATTGAGAAACCCCGTCTCTACTAAAAATACAAAAATTAGCTAGGTGTGGTGGTGCACCCCTGTAATCCCAGCTACTGGGGAGGCTGAGGCAGGAGAATCGCTTGAACCTGGGAGGCGGAGGTTACAGTGAGCCAAGATTGTGCCATTGCACTGCAGCCTGGGCGACAGAGCAAGATTTTGTCTCAAAAAAAAAGAAAGAAAGAAAGAAAAGAAGGAATGCCAAGTAGCAGAGCAGTGAGAATGTAGTTGCAGTTTGCATAAATTTGGAGTATCTGGAGTAAGAGTGCTGAAAGATTCTGCAACTTTCTTTCTCCAGCAGTGCTGGGGAAATGGGAGTTGAGGAGATGACTGCTGGTTGGATCTCGGATCAGTTAGAGCAGGGAGTCCAACCTCCTGGGCCGCACATGGTACCAGTTGGTGGCCTATTAGGAACTAGGCCACATAGTAGGAGGTGAATGGGTATTAACTCCTAAGCTTTGCCTCCTGTCAGATCAGCAGCCACATTAGATTCTCATAGGAGTGCCAACCCTATTGTGAACTGAGCATGCGAGGGATCTACACTGCACACTCTATGAGAATCTAATGCCTGATGAGCTGAGGTAGAAGAGTTTCATCCCGAAACCTTCCCACCCCGCCCCCATTATCTGTGGAAAACTTGAGAATTGTCTTCTATGAAACTGATCCCTGATGCCAAAAACGTTGGGGATCTCTGAGATAGAGGAAATATGCTATGCTGCAGCATGAAGTAGGTGAGAGAGGGGGCTAAAGGCCTCGTGAATGAGATGACCTGGGAAGTCTGAAGGATCAGATGAATTGCGGGATGAGCTGTGGCAGGGATAACCTGAGGTCCAGGGAAGGCTTTTGAAAGCTTAAAATGTATAAAATGTTGAGAAAATGGAACAAGAAAACAAGTTTTTAAAATGTATTTCTAATCTAGCAAAAAGAGAAATCCACAGTGACCCAGAGAAAGAAACAAATCCGGAAAGGAAAGGTAGGGATGTACCCTGTGTATTTCCTGAGGACATTGGCTATCCTCGGAAGCTCCGGGCTGGGATCACAGGCAGGAAACAAAGCCTGGGGCCTGAGCTGGGTGGGATGTCTGACTAGAGAGTCCCTCCGCATTCTATAAAGTGGCAACCCCAGGAGATGAACACCCTCAGTTCTGAGGAATGCCCCCTCCCCAAGAGAAAGATGTTAGGGATATGTGTCTATGTAAGCCTCACTTAGAGAATGGGAAGGAGCACAGAAATCTTCACCACTATCTCATACTCACAGTCCCTCAAAATGGACCAGAATTCATACGAATATGTGCATATGATAGGGGATGGCACAGAAAGTTACTTTGAATTAGCCTGGCTTGGTAATGTCCCCAGGCACCAGGCAGAAACAAAAGAAAACCCTCTGTAGTCTGTTTATTTCTCAAAATGAAAGTACAATAATTGAAATAACAATCTTAGTGAATGGGTTAAAGAGCAGACATTGTCAAGGAGAATTAGTGAAGACATACATATCTGAAAAATTACCCAGGATGCAGCTCAAATAAATATAGAGATGGGAAAATGCAAGAAAGGTTCAAAGATATGGAGACTAGAATGAGAAGGGTCAAGAAAAATGTAATGGGAGTTCCAAATGGTGGAGTGCAAGCAATATTTGAAAAGGTAATGGTATATATAAATGTATTTATTGTGTATACATTGTTTTGAAGTATCTATACATTGTGGAATGGCTACAGGGAGCTAATTAACATATGCATTACTTATGTACTTATTTTATTGTAGTGAATATGCTTAAAATACACTCTCAGGAATTTTCAAGAATATATTAAGTATAGTCACCGTTTTTTTTTTAGAGGGATTCTCACTCTGTCCCCCAGGCTACATACAGTGCAGTGGCGTGATCTTGACTCACTGCAACTTCTGCCTTCTGGGTTCAAGTGTTTCTCTTGCCTTGGCCTTTTGAGTAGCTGGGATTACAGGTGCCTGCCACCACACCTGGCTAATTTTCATATTTTTAGTAGAGATGGGGTTTCTCCATGTTTGGCCAGGCTGGTCTCGAACTCCTGACCTCAAGTGATCCACCTGTCTCCGCCTCCCAAAGTGCTGCAGTCAATTACAGGTGTGAGCCACTGCACCTGACTAAATTTAGTTTCTTGATCCTTGATGATATCCTTTTTTTTTTTTTTTTTTTTTTTGAGATAGAGTCTCACACCGTCATCCAGGCTGGAGTGTAGTGGTGTGATCTCAGCTCACTGAAACCTCTGCCTCCCAGGTTGAAGCAATTCTCCTGCCTCAGCCTCCCAAGTAGCTGAGACTACAGGTGTGTCCCACTGTGCCCAGCTAATTTTTTGGATTAGAGACGGGGGTTTCACTCTATTGGTCAGGCTGGTCTTGAACTCCTGACCTTGTGATCCACCCACCTAGACCTCATGCTCATGGGATTACAGGCATGAGCCACACGCCTGGCCAGATCCTTGATCATATTTTTATCTTCCCAAGGTTTTTTTTTAATCTTCCCAAAGTTTATTCAGGCTTCCCATACTCCTTTTCTATCACAGTTCTCAGACTGCTTTCTAATCATCATACACACATCCTATAGATAGATGGGTAGATAAAAAGATATGTAAGTGTAGATATCCTCCATGCCAGGTACGTTGCTAGCCTGAGACTCCAGCAGTGACTAAGATGAAAACTCTCCGGTCCTTGGATAGTCAGTAGTCTAGTCCAGGAAACTGACTGATAATCACACAGTGGAATAATGAATGGATTGGAGATGTGATAAAAACTACAAGAGAAATTAAATAACTCTTACTGTGATAACAGAGGGTTCTCAGCATGGGAAGAGAAGTCAGATTTAGCATGGTAAAAACATTTTAAGCAAGGGAAACTACACAGGCAAAGGCTCTGAGGCTGGAAGGAGGCTGTGCCTGTAGCTGTGGCTGTGGCATGGTGGACAGTACAGGGAGGCTGGAAAGGCTATGGAGCCAGCCCATGCAGAACCTCGAGCATGGGAAAGAGTTGGGGTTTTATCCAGAGGGCAATAAAGGGGTATTGAAGGGCTTTGGGCAATGGAGTAACATTAGATTAGAGCAGCACCAATGCTCCTTCTTGACATCTTGTTAACATGTATTCACATGAGGGTGCTTCCTGCTAAACCTCAATCAAGTCTCAAGCTGCTTGGCTTTTTTTTTTTTTTTTTTTTTTTTTTTTTTTTTTGATAGGAAGTCTTGCTCTGTTGCCAGGCTGGAGTGCTATGGAGTGATCTCAGCTTCCTGCAACCTCTGCCTCCCAGGTTCAAGCAGTTCTGCTTCAGCCTCCTGAGTAGCTGGGATTACAGTTGCCTGCCACCACAACCAGTAATTTTTGTATTTTTAGTAGAGATAGGGTTTTACCACTTTGGCCGGGCTGGTCTCAAACTCCTGACCTCAAGTGATCCACCCACCTCGACCTCCCAAAGTGTTAGGATTATAGGCATGAGCCTCTGCGCCCAGCAGCTGGCTTGTTATATTCTTTAGCCATCCTCTGGTCATTTTTAGCAAATATGACAAACTCATCTCTCCCCGCTTTTTTACACAATACAGATGTATCCGTAATCCTCCATTCATACAGTGTTGATAATTGCCAGGTTCCATTTTTCATGCTTGCCTAGAACAGTGGTTCTCAGCCTTTTTTTCTAATTTGACATATACCCAGAACAAATGATAATCACTTGTCAGAAAGTTTCCACCCTACAGCTTCTCAAACTGTGTGATGTAACATACTGACCCCCCAATCCTGAGGGCCTTTGGGTGGGATGTTAGAGTGGGTGACTGGAGCCCTTGGGCCAGTTACCTCACATAGCAGTTCACCTGGGGTGCCACATGCTTTCTGGGTGATCCAGATTGTTTTTCTATAGATGTCACCCTAGTTCTGTGTGCATAAAAATAAAAAAGGGCTGGGGCTCACTTTTTATATATCTGGACTTTAATCCCAGCACTTTAGGAGGCCAAGGCAGGTGGATCACCTGAGGTCAGGAGTTCAAGACCAGCCTGGCCAAGATGGTGAAATCCTCTCTACTCAGAATACAAAAAATTAGCCAGGCATGGTGGCGTGCACCTGTAGTCCCAGCTACTTGGGAGGCTAAGGCAGGAGAATTGCTTGAACCTGGGACGGGAGGTTGCAGTGAGCTGAGATTGTGCCATTGCACTCCAGCCTGGGCAAAAGTGAGACTCTGTCAATAAATAAATAAATATTAGCTAGGCGTGGTGATGGGCACCTGTAATCCCAGCTACTCAGGAGGCTGAGGCAGCAAAACTGCTTGAACTCAGGAGACAGAGGTTTCAGTGAGCTGACACAGTGCCACTGCACTCCAGCCTGGGCGACAGAGTGCTATTATATCTCAAATAAATAAATAAATAAAATGGAAGTGCTCTCCAGGGACATGTGGATTTTAATGCCTCCTCTACCACTTGAACACATTTCTGCCTCTTTTGGCCTCAGTTTTCTCATCTGCAAAATGGAGATATTATCTATTCTGTAGAATTGTTGAGTGGATTAAATGAGTAAGGTGTGTGAAGTTCTTGTCCCTGTGCTGGTGCACCATGAGCCTTCAGTGGGCATTGGATGAGATGATTTAGTAGACAGTCATGACTGGACCCAGGCTCCAGTTACTTCTTCCACATTTGCAGGGGTTTATAGTTACTAGAGCTCCTCCAGGAATATCAGTAGCAGAGGCTTTGGTAGCTGGGAGAGGTGCAATTTTTTGCTGTAAGGATAACTTTGTTTAGAACCATGAGGATAGGTATAGGGACCACTGCAACCGGGTCTTGCAGTGGAGGAGAAAGATTAGGCATAAGTCTGAAGTACAGCATGGGCAAATGGGAATTTATACCCAAGGAGTAGTGTGAAGGTCAGTGGATGGAAAATTACCAAGAGGAAACATCAGGGGTAAGAGGAATTCTGGCTAAACTGATCTAACAGGATTCTTGCTGAAGACAGGCTGGGGTGATCAGCTATCACTTGGGAGTTAGTATAGGATGAGGAACCTGATGAGATTTGGAGAATGGGGGTTTCAGCTAAATTGACTTAGCAGAGTTCCTTTACTAAAATTGGAATTTACAAGAACATGCACATACTGGCCTATGAGAAGTTTCAGAAGCCTGACCAAAGTTTGGCTAAGCAAAGAATCTTTTTTTTTTTTTTGAGCCATAGTCTTACTCTCTTGCCCAGGCTGGAATGCAGTGGTGCAATCTCTGCTCACTGCAGCCTCCGCCTCCCAGGTTCAAGCAATTCTCCTGCCTCAGCCTCCCAAGCAGCTGGGATTAGAGGTACACACCACCACACCCTGCTGATTTTTTAAATTTTTAGTAGAGACAGGGTTTCACCATGTTGGCCAGGCTGATCTCAAACTTCTGACCTCAGGTGATCCACCTGCCTCAGCCTCCTAAAGTGCTGGGATTACAGGTGTGAGCCACCATGCCTGTCCAGCAAAGAATCTTTGTCATGCCTCAGGTTCTTTATCCACGAAATGGGAGTGTGATTCCATTTTCTACCTCAGAGTCGTGAGGATTAACCATAAAGTCCAGATGCATAGTAAACATTCAGTAGATAGTTAGTTGTTAGTATTTCTTTGCAACGAGCCAAGATACTGCACTCCAGCCTGGTGACAGAGAGAGACTCCGTCTCAAATTAAATAAATAATTAAATGAATGAAATAAAAATAAATAAAAATGGTGTTTTATTATATAAGTTCATAAAGCAGTTGTGACTGTCAAAAAGTCAACGTTATACACATACATACACATCTGTACATGTACATCATATATACACATGTAAGAGCACTCTGTTAGGAAATCCAGACCTGATGCTACTTCCCTGTGCGGCAGGAACTGCAGATACTTGAATCTTGGCTAAGTCAGTTTGGGGTCCCAAAGTACAGGGGACAACAGTGGAGGGGCTGAATAGCCTGGGTGGGGGGTAGCTGCATTTCACACGCATTCTGTTATTCAGTCCTCACAGAAATCTTGTGAGCGAGGCAGGCAGTATTACTCCCACTTTACAATTTTAGGAAATGGAAACAGAGAGACAGAGTTTAATGAAGACCCAGAGTGGAGGAGCAATTCAGACCTGGCCTTCCCCTATGCCGCCCCTAAAGCCACCTCCTCCCTGACTGCCCTGCCCAGCAGTGCTGATTCAGACTCGTTGTTAGAAATCTACTCCAGAATCTTTACGTGTACCCACTAAGGGAAAGAATCAACATTTCGCGTCAGCCTCCCCAAGACGACAGCTGCTGAAGACGAGTTCCTGCCACCGCTGTGGCTCCCTAAGCTGTTCGATTCCGGCAAACAGCTACTGGATGAAGTTGAAGGAGCAGCTGAACCCACCGGTTCCGGGATAATCCAGGAGAAGGTGTCCAAGGGCTTCGACCTCCTTGAGAAGGCTGCCAAAATGTTATCGCAGCTTGACTTGTTCAGCCGAAATGAAGATTTGGAGGAGATTACTTCCACCGACCTGAAGTACCTGATGGTGCCAGCGTTTCAAGGAGCCCTCACCATGAAACAAGTCAACCCCAGTAAGCGTCTAGATCATTTGCAGCAGGCTCGCAAACACTTTATAAACTACTTAACTCAGTGCCATTACTATCATGTGGCCGAGTTTGAGCTGCCCAAAACCAAGAACAACTCAGGTGAAAATCACACTGCTATTACCTCCCTGGCTTATCCTAGCCCCGTTGCTATGGCATCTCAAAGGCAGGCTAAAATAGAGAGATACAAGAAGAAGGAGTTGGAGCATAGGTTGTCTACAGTGAAATCTGAAGTGGAAAGTGGTCAAGCAGATGATGAGCGTGTTCGTGAATATTATCTTCTTCACCTTCCGAGGTGGATTGATATCAGCTTAGAAGAGATTGAGAGCATTGACCAGGAAATAGAGATCCTGGGAGAGAAAGACTCTTCAAGAGAGGCATCCACTTCTAACTCATCTCGCCAGGAGAGGCCTCCAGTGAAACCTTTCATTCTCACTCGGAACATGGCGCAAGCCAAAGAATTTGGTACTGGTTATCCAAGTCTGGCTTCTGTGACAGTGAGTGACTGGTATGATCAACATTGGAAACATGGAGCGTTACCAGATCAGGGAATAGCCAAGGCAACACCAGAAGAATTCGGAAAAGCCACTCAGCAAGGGAAAGATCAAGAAAAGGAAAAAGAGGATGATGAACAAACACTCCAGGGAGCTCGGGAGTGGGATGACTGGAAGGATGCCCACCCTAGGGGCTATGGCAACCGACAGAACATGGGTTAATTTTCCCACAACACAGCAGCACTGCAGGGTGCACACCTTCCCGGGCAAGGAAAACCATGTAGCTTCCCCTCCCCCTGGGCTACCCCTACAGCTGTGTACAATGAAGGCAAAGATGCTTAATGTTCATGCTTGCTTTGAGTTCAATAAAGTATTAAATTATTAAGCATGTATTTGTACCCTAGATGATGTGAGCCAGTAATCTAGTTTTGGCATCATCATCCTCATCCTGGTGTGTTCCAATTTCTTTTCTTTTTTATTTTAAAAAGAGATGGGGTCTCGTTCTCGTTCTCCAGCCCAGGCTGGAGTGCAGTGGCTATTCACAGGTGCAATCCCACTACTGATTAGCACGGGAGTTTTGACCTGCTCCTTTTCCGACCTGGGCCGGTTCACCCCTTCTTAGGCAACCTGGTGGTCCCCGGTTCCCGGGAGGTCACCATATTGATGACGAACTTAGTGCGGACATCCGATTGGCATAGCACACTACAGCCCAGAACTCCTGGGCTCAAGCCATCTTCCCACCTCAGCCTCCCGAGTAGCTGGGACTACAGGCATGCGCCACCGCCCCCGGCCCAATTTCTTAAGTGGAAAGAAAAGGGCACTGAGGGCCGGGCGCGGGGCTCATGCCTGTAACTCCAGCACTTTGGGAGGCTGAGGTAGGCGGATCACCTGAGGTCAGGAGTTCGAGACCAGCTGGCCAAGGTGATGAAACCCCATCTAATGGGGTTTTGTATTTTGTACTAAAAATACAAAACTACCGGGCGTGGTGGCAGGCGCCTGTAATCCCAGCTACTCGGGAGGCTGAAGCAGGAGAACTGCTTGAACCCGGGAGGCGGAGGTTGCAGTGAGCCGAGATCACGCCATTCCACTCCAGTCTGTGCAACAAAAGTGAAACTCCGTCTCAAAAAAAAAAAAAAAGCACTGAGAAATGGCTCTGTATAATTAATGGTTGTATGAATTCTCTGAAAATAATAATAATAATAAAGCCCGTGCAGAAAAAAGAAAAAAAATTCTTATCACACAAGGCGATTTTTTTTTAATCGGAGCAGTATCTAGAGCGAATGGAGAAAGCAGTAAGGGCAGCCAGACGTATGTGTAACGTCACTATAAGAGGCGGGGATATGTAGATAGGGGCGCAGTGATTGACGGTTCTAGTGCGTTCTTCTCACAGAGAATTTTTCTAGCGAATATCAGACAAGGTGTAGTCTGAGATGTGTCATACAAAGAAGCGGTAGTTTCGAACCGAACGCCTAACTCATAATACAACTTGCCATGACTAAGATGTGTATTAAAGATGTTGAGGTAGTAGCAGTCACCGTTCGTGTTTCAAAAAGCACTGTTATGAAGGTGGTTGTTTTGTAGCGTGGTTTGAGTGTAGTGATCTTTGAAGTTTTTCCCAAGTATAGCAATCTGGTATATAATTGTGGTAGTCCCGGGCTGTGTTTTCACATTCCCCTCGAAGTTTAGGTTGAAGAGCGCTATATAAGGTAGCGTTATCATTGTAATGCTGTGTATTTGTAGTTTTGGTAACTGGCTTACGACTTTTTCTTTTTTATCTTTTTTTTTTTTTTTTTTGGCTTATGGCTTTTCAGTTGTTTGCTTTGGGTTTAATTAGGTAAAGACCCAAACACCAGTTACTCCCCTCAATATCTGAGTTTTAGCCTGGCAAAACAGAGAAGAGGGTTTCCTCTGAGTGAGGCTGCTGAGCTTCTGCTAGTGATTCCTTCAGGATTCCATGTCCCCGCCGCCTCCCCCCCCATCCCCGAGACACACACACACAGACGAGACAAGAACAGGCACAAGCCTTCACAAATCAGAATTCTAAAACGAGATTTAGGCCCAGCGTTGTGGCTCATGCCTGTAATTACAGCACTTTTGGGAGGCTGAGGTGGGAGGATCACTTGAACCTGGGAATTCAAAATCAGCCTGGACAGCATAGTGATACCTCATCTCTATTTAAAAAAATAAATAAAAATAAAACCATATTTGGCCAGCATGGTGGCTCACACCTATAATCCCAGAACTTTGGGAGCCTGAGGCAGGAGGAGTATTTGAGGCCAGGAGTTGAAGATCAATCATCCTGGGCAACATAGCAAGTTCCCACCTCAAAAAAAAATTTAAATAAAATAAGTAAATAAAACCAAATTTCTTTTTTTTCCCTTTTTTTTTTTTGAGACAAGAGTTTTGCTCAGTCACCCAAGCTGGAGTGCAATGGCTTGATCTTGATTCACTGTAACCTCCACCTCCCTGGTTCAAGCAATTGTCGTGCCTCAGCCTCTTGAGTAGCTGGGACTGCAGGTGCTTGCCACCACCCCTGGCCAATTTTTTTTTTTTTTTTTTTGAGATGGAGTCTCACTCAGTCGCCCAGGCTGGAGTGCAATGGCATGATCTCGGCTCACTGCAACCTCCACTGCCTGGGTTCAAGCAATTGTCCTATCTCAGTCTCCTGAGTACCTAGGACTACAGGTGCCCACTACCGTGCCCAGCTAATTTTTTTAGATTTTCATAGAGATGGGGTTTCACATTGGTCAGGCTGGTCTCCAACTCCTGACCTCAGGTGATCCACCCACCTTGGCTTCTCAAAGTGCTGGGATTACAGGTGTGAGCCATCACGCCCACCCAAAACCGGATTTCTGAAATGAGACCTGAAGGGTCCAGGAGTATTTCCCCTAAACAGTGCCCTTTATTCTCCTTCCATGGGAAAATTGCCTTAAACAGGGCCCTTTATATAGGTTAGGGAGGGTTAATAAGACCTTTGAAGGCTTTACAGGGCCTCTGAGGAGGCTAAACAGATCAGGAGAAGGGAAAGGGAGTACAGATTATGCTTGGGAATAATTATCAGAGACATCTTCCAGAATCAGAAACCATTTCTCTGCTGCAAGCCAGCTTATGCGCCTATGGTTGGCAATCCCCCTGCCTACAAGGGAGGTGCCAGAGATGGCCCTTGGCTTAAAGGAGGGCTTGTCTTGGGCTGCTGAAATGTTAGGGTGTTCCAGGACAGAATAAGGTCCCGCAGCTTGTTCTCATGGCCCAATAATGAGATGCAGACTGGGAAAGAAGGGAGTTTATAGGCCAGGCACAGTGGCTCACACCTGTAATTCCAGTACTTTGGGAGGCCGAGGTGCACAGATCACCTGATGTCAGGAGTTCGAGACCAGCCTGGCCAGCATGGTGAAACTCCATCTCTATTTAAAATACAAAAATTAGCAGGCATGGTGGTGGGCACCTGTAATCCCAACTACTGGGGAGACTGAGGCAAGAGAATTGCTTGAACCCGGGAGGTAGAGATTGCAGTGAGCTGAGATCAGGTCACTGCACACCAGCCTGGGTGACAGAGTGAGACTCTGTCTCAAAAAAAAAAAAAGCTACAAGTTTTAAAAATAGACATTCAAGGTTCATGCCTATGTGTGTGAGTATACCTACAAGTCGTAGTGTTTCATTCAATCTATATATAATCTTTAGGGTCTAGGGTCTAGAAAGCCTTCTTTAGAGTTTTGCCAAGTTTCTTAACCTTGTTTATTTTTGAGATGGCATACTCTCAGCTCACTGCAACCTCTGCCTCCCAGGTTCAAGCAATTCTCCTGCCTCAGCCTCCCGAGTAACTGTGATAACAGGTGCACGGCACCACACCTGGCTAATTTTTGTATTTTTAGTAGAGATGGAGTTTTGCCATGTTAGTCAGGCTGGTCTTGAACGCCTGACCTCTGCCCGCCCTCCCAAAGTGCTGAGATCACAGACATGAGCCACCAAGCCCAGCCAGAAAGTTTATTAATCTTAAGTGGGCCCTGTTACAAGGTGTATGTATAAAAATGCTTCTATTCTTTGATCAGACTTTAGGGTCTGAGAAAGCCCAGGTAATGTCTGGTTTTTTTGTTTGTTGTTTGTTTTTTTTTTTTGAGACAGAGTCTCACTCCATCACCAGGCTAGAGTTCAGTGGCACGATCTTGGCTCACTGTAACTTCTGCCTCCTGGGTTCAAGTGATTCTCCTGCCTCAGCCTCCTGAGTAACTGGGATTACAGGCGCCCGCCACCAAGCCCAGATAATTTTTTTATTTTTATTAGAGACAGGGTTTCACCATGTTGGTCAGGCTGGTCTCATATTCCTGATCTCATGATCTGCCTATCTTGGCCTCCCAAAGTGCTGGGTTCACAGGCGTGAGCCACCTTGCGGGGCCCCAGGTGGTGTCTTAATGGGTTTGTTTTTGCATTCTAGCCTTTGTACTCAGGCCCCAGTTTCTCCAGTTCTTTAATGCTTAATATATACATTCATCAAAATTATAGTAAAGGGTTAGTGGAAATGGACTGTTCTCACTGCTGATGGAAACCTGGACTGTTACAAAGGGGGCACTGAGCCATGGTTAAATGTTCACAAGGGGCATCTTTTCATGGGATCACCATTAAGTTGTAATCCCACATGGCAAGTCAGTATAGTGAGACACAGGGTTGCAGCAGAGAACAAGGTTTAATTATAGGGGCGCAGAAAATGGAGAAGGAAAGAAACCTCAAACGTCTCCCAAACTCATCCTTTTATAAGGAACCCACTCCTCCCATAACAACCTACTTCCTTGATATTGACGATAGCACCAATCTATTCATGAGGGTGGTGCCCCATGACCTAAATACATCTTAAAGGTTCTATCTCTCAGCACCTCCATATTGGGGATGAAGTTTTCAACATATGAATTTTGGAGGATCATTCAAACCATAGCCATAGGTATACCACAGACACTTGATTTTAAGAATGATGGTCAGGTGTGGCTGCCACATATGGTAAGTAAAATTTCTCTGCATGGTTCTTATCATGCACGGTAACAGCTAACAGTGATAGAGAACTTGCTTGGTGCCAGGTACTATGCTAAGCACTGTACACAAATTAGCTCATTTAAAACTCTCAGGAACCCTCTGATTATTATTATCCCCATAATACAGATGAAGAAATTGAGGCCTATCACTGTTAATTTCTCCAAGGTCACACAGGGAAGTAACAGAGCCAAGACAATTTCAGAGTCTGAACTGTGAACCTAAACCACCGTGTTATACTATGTAGACTTACATAATGACTGCATTTGTGTTCTAAGCCTTTCAAAGTCAGTACTCCCCTATTATCTTGATGACTAATGAACATGTGTATTTAGAATTTTACTTCCTGGAAGTCCTCACTTTTTCAGTCCTGGGAGTTAGTGATAAATATTGTATTAGTCTGTTCTCATGCTGCTGATAAAGACATATCTGAGGTTATGTCATTTTTAAAGGCAAGAGGTTTGACTGACTCACAGTTCTGCAGGGTTGGGGAGGGCTCAGGAAACTTACAATTATGACAAATGGGGAAGCAAACACATCCTTCTTCACGTGATGGCGGGAAGAAGTACTGAGAAAAAGGGGAGAAAGCCCCTTATAAAACCTTCAGATCTCATGAGAACTCACTCACTGTCACAAGAGCAGCATGAGGGCAACCGCCTCCATGATTAGATTATCTCCTGCTGGGTTCCTTCCATGATGTGTGGGGATTATGGGAACTACAATTCAAGGTGAGATTTGGGTGGGTACATAGAGCCAAACCATATCAAATATATTCTCATATATATATATATGTGTGTGTGTGTATATATATAACTTGTCTCTTCTCACTATTCCTATATTCAATGGTATATTAAAGTTCTTTAATTTCAGCAATAACACTGAGGAAAAACATTAATCTTACAGAGTTTCAGTAATTGTTCCCCTAATCGTCATTATTAATGAAGGTGGCTGGACAGGTTTTTAAATGTGGAAGAATTAAGTTGTTTCCTTGCATTTCTGGTTCAGTTAAAATAAGCATGTTGCTCTCATTTGGAACAGGATGTCTCGGGCTGTTCCTCTTCCAGTCCCCTGCCCTGTTCAACTTGGTACGTTAAGAAATGACTCCCTGGAAGCTCAGCTTCATGAATATGTCAAACAAGGGAACTACGTGAAAGTGAAGAAAATTCTTAAGAAAGGTAAGCACCATGTTGAGATGGCAGATGCATCTTGGTTCACGTTTCTGAATAGTGTTCAGAGAAAAGGGGATATTATAAAGCTATGAATGAGTTCTTAGGGAAATCCAGAAATTAAATGTAGAGATTAGGTGTTCTCTAGGAGTGCCATCAAGAGAGGTGTTAAATCCTTATTTGTAGGTGGTTTTGTTTTGTTTTGTTTTGTGCTGGGAAAGCACAAGCTCATCAAACTGCTAGGCTCCTAGGTTTCTCTGAAGTCACCCATCTGCTCCATCCATTGAGTTATCTGACACCTTTGGTTGACTGAGGAGACCAATGTTCACAGCTGTCCCCTTCCTTGCTGTTTACTTCCACTTGGTGCCTTTTTTCCAGGGTTTTCTTACTGGAGGATACAGGCAGACATGGCTCAATGGCTGAAGCAGTCTTCCAAAGAACCAACGAATGTGCCCTTTGAATTTGGTCTAAGAAAAAAACAACAACAAAGAACAAAGTTACAAAAACCCATATATAAACAGAACCTCTTCTGATGTTTGGCTTCTGATCTAGGGACACAGACCTGCTGCTTTTTTTTTTTTTTTTTTTTTGAGGCAGAGTCTCACTCTGTTGCCAGATACAGTGCAGTGGCATGATCATAGCTCACTGCAGCCTCGACCCCAGGCTCAGGTGATTCTCCTGCCTCAGCCTCCCAAGTAGCTGGGACTATAGGCACATGCCACCATGCCTGGCTAATTTTTGTGTTTTTTGTTTGTTTTTTGTAGTGATAGTTTCACCATGTTGCCCAGGCTGGTCTAGAACTTCTGGGCTCAAGTGATCTGCCCACCTCAGCCTCTCAAAGTGCTAGGATTACAGGTATGAATACAGACCTGCTATTTTCAATATGAGCAGAGGTCCTGCTAGATTCCCCCGCCTCCTTCCTTAGTATTGAAGGGGAGGCTTCTGAAACTTCTCTTTGCTGATTTGTGGAACAGTCAGGGTGACCTGGATTTTCTTCACTTGCTTCAACAAAATTCCTGAATACTTCCAGAAGGGTATCTCCAATTTTCCACCTATCCCATTGAATAGTTCCCTCATACAGTTCTCATGGCTGGCGCAGTGGATCCCACCTATCTGTAAACCCAACACTTCAGGAGGCTGAGGCAGGAGAATTGCTTGAGGCCAGGAGTTCAAGACCAGTCTGAGACCAGCCTGGGTAACACAGTGAGATCCTGTCTACAAAATTTTTTTTTAAAAAATTATCAGTAGTGGCCAGGTGTGGTGGCTCACACCTGTAATTTAAGCACTTTGGAGGCCAAGGCGGGTGGATCACCTGAGGTTGGGAGTTCAAGACCAGCCTGACCAACATGGTGAAACCCCGTCTTTTTTTTTTTTTTTTAAATAAGTTGGGGTTTCACCATAATTTCCAGGCTGGTCTTAAACTCCCGACCTCAGGTGATCCACCCACCTCAGCCTCCCAAAGTGCTAGGATTATAGGCGTGAGCCACTGCACCCGGCCGAACCCCGTCTTAAAAAAAATAAATAAATAAAAATTATTAGTAGTTGGTACTATGCACATGGTAGCGCATGCCTGTAGCCCACCACAGCAGGAGGCTGAGGGGAGACCCCATCTCAACAACAAAAAAATAAGTTCTCAAACCTTTTCATGTACTACCCCTAGTCCGTAGGTGAAGTAGCTCACAGTGAGCTCAAATCATTTATGTGAAAGGTCCTGGGTTTTTTGGTTACTTTTTCCTCAAAATTTTGCATTTTGCTTGATAACATATCCACATATGTTGTAAAATAGAATGTTGTAGGGGGGTGGGGAATTGGGGAGAGACAGCATGGGGAGAAATGCCAGATATAGGTGATGGGGAGGAAGGCAGCAAATCACACTGCCATGTGTGTACCTATGCAACAGTCTTGCATGTTCTTCACATGTACCCCAAAACCTAAAATGCAATTTAAAAAAAAGTTGTAAAACTCCACTTCTCAGGCTGGGCGTGGTAGCTCACATCTGTAATCCAAGCACTTTGGGAGGCAGAGGCGGGTGGATCACCTGAGGTCAGGTGTTTGAGACCTGCCTGGCCAACATGGTGAAACTCTGTCTCTACTAAGCAATACAAAAATTAGCTGAGCGTGGTGGTGTACTCCTGTAATCCCAGCTACTTGGGAGGCTGAGGCAAAAGAATTGCTTGAACTCAGAGGCAAAGTTGCAGTGAGCCGAAATTGCACCATTGCACTCTAGCCTGGGCAGCAAGAGTGAGACTCCATCTCTCAGAAACAAAAACAAAAATAATTGTTTCCTATGATCCATGTTAGAGGAAAAAAAAAAAAACAGAAACAAAACTCTGTTCCTCACAGTGAATGGTGTGGATACATAGTCATTGGAAGTCATAGCATACCTATATTGAACATCAGTTTTTTTCAGTGAACATCAGAATTTTATGACATTTATTATCTCCTGAATATTCTGCATCTTCAAATTCTTGATATTCAGTTAGAGTAAGGGATGGGGTTAACAGTTGTACCTGGATATAGAACAGGACTTCATCTGGCTGAGCACAGGTGGCTTATGCCTGTGCATAAGGTCAAGAGATTGAGACCATCCTTGCCAACATGGTGAAACCCCTATCTCTACTAAAAATACCAGAAATTAGCCAGGTGTGGTGGAGCATGCCTGTAGTCCCAGCTACTCAGGAGGCTGAGGCAGGAGAATCATTTGAACCTGGGAGGCGGAGGTTGCAATGAGCCAAGATTGTGACACTGCACTCTAGCCTGGTAACAAGAGTGAGACTCTCAAAAAAAAAACAAAAAATAAGAACAGACTTCATCTGTGTCTGGGAATTAACTCCATCTCAAGACTCAGAGTGCTGCTGAATAAACAGAGTAAGGGGTTATA